GCTGCTGGATAGTCGGCTGCCCTCTAAGCTCCGGTTGAACGGACTGGATGCGCCCTTTGCGCGGCAGCTGCCAGTCTCCAACATGGCGAAGCCAGCAGACAGGAACATCGTTGCGAGGCACATGGCGAACCCGGCCCCGAAGGGCACCTACAGGGTTCTGGGGCTCTACGATCTTCTCCCGCTCGAGGGAGCAACTCGGGCCCTCAAAATAGTATTGGTATTTATTGAGGCCCCTATATTACCGTCGCCAGTACGCCTTAGAAGCGCCCTGAGGTTCCGTAGCGTCCCCAGCAAAGTGTCCCCTTCAGCGGGGGCCTCAGCATCAGCCATTCCTCGCAGGGCTCATGGGTTCACGTTAGGGTTTAGGGCCTACCTCGAGGTAGCCGTGCTGCGGACGCGGCGGCAACTTAGCTAGCGCAAACACTCAAGCACCCTGCCTGGCAAACTGGCAGGCGCAGTTCTAGCGAGTGTTCACCCTCGGTTTCCAGAGCGGCGCTTGGCATTTGACGTAAACCCTAAACCCTAAACCTTATTTTCTAGGGAATTTGAAGAGTGTGGGGTTCCCTATGCAATAAAGTTCCGGGAAACGTAGTACCATCATCACATACAGACATAGGGCTTGCTTAAAACACGAAGGACAAGTAGTACGATCCCCTATTGCACCCTGAACTAGTTCTTGGGGCTGCGCTTACCCTGAGGGACCATGTCGCCAAATAGTATATACTCTGGCCCTCAACAAACCGATATTCGGGACTACTTTGAGGCCAAAGTATGTACTGTTTGAGTACATGGACCCTGAAACCCTAAATCCTTATGGTACCCTCATTGGAACCCTTAAAGGAGGCCCCTAATGGAACTCCTTCTGGTCACGTGACCCCTTAGCGCTATGGGTTTACTATTTAGGGCTTGAGCTCTGTGTCGGAGCGCTCGCGTCCATGCTACTGGGCTTAGTATAGGAGCCTGAGCAATTAGAATAGGGTTTGCATGGGGATATATCTGCATTATATCCATGATAAGGAACCCAAAAAATATCCTAGGCCAAAAGGTAACCTATATCTACAGGCTTTTTTGGGTTTTGTAACAGCTATTATACATCAAAAAGGGTAGAGTTTGCCTACCTTACCAAAAGGTGGTCAACTGGAGAAAAGTGCCCTGAAGCAGGGGTTGTACAGTTGTAAGAGGCGACCTCTGCCTGACATGCGGAAACCAAAGCAGACGCAAAAGGCTAAGGACTCAAGCCTTGCGGCTTTGGCCCCCCCCCCCCAAAAAAAAATCTGCTGCAAGAAAAGGCTCTCAGACTAAGGTTTCGAGGGCACCTCCCTAAACGCTAAAGTTCAGACCCAAACACTTCAACGTCTCCTACAGCAAGTAGGCCCTGGGCAAGATCCTACCTGTACATTAAAGTAAATTGCGGAATTAATCTCTGAGAAAATACACCATGCCAAAACCCTGACACCCGCCTTAAGCCCGAAAGCCCTGAGACCTGAAACCATTACGCACCCTTCTCACACTCGCCTTCAGGTCCCGCAGTAACTCTAAGATCAGCGTCGCCTTAGGAAGAAGGAACGTGACCAAACAGGGCTTATAAGGGCATGGCTAAAGGGTTTTGGGTTTAACAACTCACATAGAAACAACAACATACCAACAAACTGAAACTTCAACCTTAGCTGACACTCCTGACAAATTTACCAAAGCCCTAACCCCACACACGTTGGTATTTGCCCGTGTGCTTTTCTTCACTTGTTTTCAACACTTGCCGCGTATGCCCTAAAACATACGGGCCCGCCGCCAAACGGCCAAATAACAACGTGTGACTCCCTAAATTCTTAGCTTCACTGGGTTGGCCTTTAAACCCTCTAAAAAATATGTATATAAAGGGTCCCTTATAAACCCCCAAAAGGGAAAATACAAAATGTCCCCAAAACAACCTAGTTAAGCTGGCAATCAATAGAGGCCCTTGCTGAGACTGGTTTCATCTCAGGCTTTTAGTCTACAGCTTATGGAATTGGGGTTCGAAGCTACTAGCTGGAAGAAAAGATTATCAGCCCTGCAAATACAGGGGTAAGATAGATATAGATAAATACACAGATGAGTATGTATGCTTGGGCATACATACATACATACATAC